GTTGATGATGACGAAGTGGAACCAGGTATCGATATTAAAGCAGAGCAGGAGAAAGATCAAGATTTGAACCCAATAATTGATTTTGTAAAAGCAAGTGTTTCGTACCCTGCTTGGGAGAACATGTCTAGTCTAAGCCCTGTGACAAAGAACTTTTGGGCACAATGGAACTAGTTGAAGCTTGAATTTGGTATTCTTGTACAGAGATGGGAAACTACAGATGGGAAAGTGACGACTTGGCAAACAGTTATACCGAGGAAGTTACGGGAAGTTGTGCTGCGTCAATCCCATGATAGTTTAACAGCAGGACATCTCGGAGTGAAGAAAACATTGAGTCACCTACGACACAGATTTTACTGAATAGGTATGAGGTAAGATGTGGAAGAATGGTGCAGAACATTCAGTAAATGTAGTGCTAAAAGGAGACCCAAGCATAAAGGACGCCCATCTTATGAAGAGTTGCCTGAGAATGTGTCAGAATTCGTGAAAGTGTTATCGGAAAGGATGGATAATATTCACCATCAAGCATGTTCAAACTTGAAAACGTCTGCTAATTCGATGAAGTTATCTTATGATAAGAGATCTACTGAAGTCAGATTTGTACCAAAAGACAAGGTGTGGTTGTATAATCCAAGGAAGACCAAAGGGAAGTCTCCTAAGTTGTCTTCTCCTTGGGAAGGCTCATATGACATAGTGGATCGTCTCTCAGACGTGACTTTCCAGATAAAATGTGGTCGGCAAGGTAAGCTAAAAGTGGTGCATGCCAACAGGCTTTGGTGTTATCACGGTCCAGGACATTTCAGTTGGGAAGAAGTGGATGACAGAACAAATGACGCTGCTGAAGACGTGTCACCTGAAGAAGCCACTGTCAAAGAAGAAACTCTACTCAGTTTTGAGAAGGGAAACAGTGAAGCCCTTGATGAAGTTACTACCACTGATGTGACTGTTACCGATGATAGGACATTTCCTAATGAAGCAAATGAACCCCACTTGAAGCAGAAGCCAACGAGACGGAGACCAGTATGGAAGAAGATACGTCCCGTAAAATTAAGAGACTTTGTTGAATTTTAATTTTGTGTTTGTAAATTCTGTACATTTAATTAAGTTATTGTTAATTGTTTATTGGTTTAATGTAAGTGGCTATTGTTCGAGAAGAACAATACTAAGGAAGGGGCAGTGTTACCACAGCAGAAGTCACGTGACACTAGTAACACGTCATGAACTTCTAGAAGGATCCTGAATGCTCGAGCGTTTACTAGATTTCGATATTCTTTTATATATAAGACGGTCAAGACGTGACAGCAACAATGTAATATAATGTATAATTGAACTGTAGACACAGAGAGACGTATTGTTGAGTCGAGCATGTGAGACAATCATTGTGAATTATAGCGTTTGTTATAGCGTGACTGTTGGAATTAAGTGTATTACAAAGTTGTATTTAGAAATAATAAACCAGTTTTATTTAAGAAAGGACTTGTATCGCTAAAGTTTCTGCGGATAGAAATTATAGGGAAAATTAACTAACGACTGGAGGCGTAACACTATTATATAAATATGAAAGATCAGAACTTGTGTATTGTCTAGAATTGAATAAATAATTAAAACCAATGTTTCATATTAACACAATTTTAAAAACTTTATTGAAGCCATCAATAGCTTCCACTTTAAAAATACTCTACATGTACAGTGTTTTGATGTCATTCATATTTTTTTCTTTTTTCTATGTGGAAGCCATCGATGGATTTAATTAAGTTTTTTAAATTGTGGAAATATGAAACGTTGGTTTTAGTTGTTTATTAAATTTTAGACTAGCATATTTTATAAGATATAGCTGTTCAGAAACCAACACTATATGTTAGATTAATCTATTAAAAGACTAGTACATTTTATAAGATATAGCTGTTGAAAGATCAACAAGATGTTAGATACTTCTATCCCATACTAGCACATTTTATAAGATATAGCTGTTGAAAGATCAACAAGATGGTAGATACTTCTATTCACATACTAGCACATTTTATAAGATATAGCTGTTTAGAAACCAACACTATATGTTAGATACTTCTATTCACATACTAGCACATTTTATAAGATTAATCACTTTTAAGACTAACACTATATGCTGGACAAATATTCAGCTTAATGTGTTATTCTCATATATTTTTCTCACTTTTCTTTATAAATACTTCAGAGTTTGATCCATCATAGTTAGCACGCCTAATCACCCTGTGAGCAACGTCAGTCCAGTAAACATGGCCTTTCTGACAATCAGTGGTCACACCTATGGCAGTCTGGTAGGGTTCCATTAATACCAACTTTCCTGGATTATTTCTTGTGGGGTTGAATGGCATCTGGAGTAAGGACATCCCTTGGGCAAAGAGCAGAGATTCTCCCTCAAACTTTGGAGTAGCTGTCCAAATTTCAGAAGATTTAAATAACTTATCTAGCACAGGCTTTTTTTTGTGGTTGTTAAAGCTTTAAAAAATTAAATCAGATTTACAATACACACCTACCTAAAACAATTATGTTTTGTGATTACATGAGATACAAACAACAGTAACAGAACTATTGTGTAACAATTCTTGATCAGTAGTTCAAAAAGGAAAATAAATTAAATCCATGAAAAATACTTTAAAGGTTTCTAATAAACATGTATATCTTCATAAGTTTAGAAAGTCATATAATGATTTCATCTATGTCTAACTATTCATGTCAAGAATCAAAGATGTATTACAGAATAGTGACTCACACATTACTTGAACACTAGAGAAACACATTCTGATTACTCAGCTTCACACCCATAACAGATACACATACATTACAGAATACTGACTCGCTCATTACTTGAACACTAGAGAAACACATTCTGATTACTCAGCTTCACACCCATAACAGATACACATACATTACAGAATACTGACTCGCTCATTACTTGAACACTAGAGAAACACATTCTGATTACTCAGCTTCACACCCATAACAGATACACATACATTACAGAATACTGACTCA